ACAGTTGTGACTATGTCCTTGAAGGGACGACTCTGCTCTGCCAAAAGCTTTCTGGTTTTTTTGTCTGTCTCCCTTTTGTAAATCCCAGTCTCGGCGTCTCGTTCATACCATACCAGACGCAGGGTCTGCCGGGCTGGGTTGACGGCGACGACCTTCCCGAACCACGGCTCAGTGTCTTCGCCGTCGTTGACCACTTCGCTCACTACAACGAAGTGGCCAACCTTGTACTCGCTCTCCTGTAAAAACAATGAAACAAAGAGAACTGCGTGTTAGTTGAAGTAGCATTTTTCGTTCAGAAGCGGTGGACATGTTATGCGAAACGTTACAAGAAAAATTCAACATATCGCCATATGATTGCCATATGCTCATGTGGGATTTCATATTAGGCGCCTTAGAGCATTTAGGAGGCTCATCTACATGTAAGGGGGATACCTTGTGATTCATGGCATGCACGCGCGCGCAACTTCTGTAAGATGATTCAATGAATTACTACTTACCGGCAGATCTGTTTGATCTTTCCTCTTCGACTTTCTAGTCGGACCCTGTGTCAAAAACGAGAGACTGTTTGGACTGCATCTTAAATACAATACATTATTATAATAAAACGTGTCTTATCAGGAACACATACACTTTTATATATATACATTATACTACGTATCTACGTATACATACTATACTTAGTGGAACAGAACAATGTTTACAGACATGTCGCAATACTTTGTCTTCCCTTCTGAGCATTGCTTTCACTGGTTAGAGAGCTATAGTGATACGTGAAGACAATGACGATTAGTTTCACATACCGGTGGATGTTCCTGACTTTTCCTCTTGATGCTGTCAAAATAAACATGATCATCATTATGAATTAACACAAATGTCACTTCATAGCCAACTGGACATCGTTTTGATTTCCGACACACTACCGGTATTGTCCTTACTTATAGACAATGAAAGCGGTGTCATTTTCAAATATTCTATACCTGCATCATCTTGAGAATTATAGTTAGTATTACAGTACGTGGTATTTCCTAGTTTGGAAGACGGTGAAAATACGACTTTTCCTATAGCCGGTGAGGCTGACATGAACACAAAGTTTAGCAAAGGTTCTGATCTTTCACTGTATGGCATTTCAAGAACAAAATTTACAAAACGGCTTTAATAAATATATTAAGAAATATCAAAGCATATTCTTACCTTGTTTGTTTTTTGTCTAGTGCACCATCTTCATCCTGTTGAAAAGAAACCATGGAATGGTAATGAATTATCCATTACATTTACATATGTTTGATGGAAAGCCCGTCCATAAGTAAAAATATTTATGTTCATAAGTTATAACATTTTGAATTTGCTGGAAAATCAGACGGAAAGCCTCCTTTCAGCAATAATAAAGAGCTCATCGTTGGAATGATTGATGGCAGAACTTCACCCAATAATATTGGATCCGGTTTTTGCCTGATGAACCCTCTTTGTCCAAGTATGACAACCACAAGAAATACATTAATTGCATTCTGATATAACTCGTTTATGCATGGCAACTCCGGTAGAAAATTTTAAAGCGAGGGCCACAACCTGCCATACGTGTTTGTTGTTCGTACGTTTTTTGAGAGGACACAGCCGCCCTGTTTTCCTAAAAACGTTGGGGAAGGCCTGGCAAGAGTAGGGGGGGGGGTATGTAAACGCACGGCACGGTTGCGCAAGGTGTAAGTACGTGGTCTGCACGCCACGCCTGGCCGTGAGCAGTTTCGTGCATCGTTAGTTACGCAAGTGCGCAAGTTGTACGTACTTAGTTCTCCCCTTGATTTCTACTTTTCTTTAAAATAAAGATTGTACATACCGAAGCTAGTTCCTGTTCACTGTTCGTCCTGTTTCTGCTGTAAAAATAGAGAAGATGATAATTATTCTTTCCATTAACATCCATCCGTTGATTGATAAATAAGTTAAACAAACAGTTCATCTACAGCTTCTGTGGCAATGTGACCACACGGTCTTTTAGCTTTCACAATATGGAATATAGTCCATGCTTTTATACAAAACAAATTATGACCTCAAAGATCTGTACGACTGCGTCATCTGTGTAGCACGTAGTAGTCACCAAACCCTTACAATTTTCCTGTCAACCAGCAACCAACCGTGAGATTGAGCTAGTGAAAAAGAAACTGTCAGAGCAGAAGGGTGGATTGTGCCTAAATACCATGCTGCCGGTAACACTTTTTTCCAACCAAAAACCATAGGATATACTTGAAAGTTTAGCGTAGGATACACATAAGACATGAACAATCCCCTATGACCCAACTTACCTCAACTGCTTTTTGTCTTCTTGGCCAGAACCACACTGTGAACAGAGAAAACATTGACAGACATTCACTAAACTGTACAATTGGTACATGTACCCTGGTAAAGCTATTAACAAAAAGACTACTACATCATCCTTTCTCTTCGGACGTAAAGCCGGCTGTAGAAGAAGGTTTTAATAAAGATTGAATTACGTCTACATACGTCTCGAGAGGCATAGATCAGGGCTTTCCCCAAAACGCATGTTGTGTCAATCTATCTATCTGTCCAGCTATTTACTAGTATCCATCCATCCAACCAACCAAAAATCTATCCATCCGTTTACATGCATCCAACCATCCATCTAATATGATAGTATCTATCCATCTATCCATAAACCTATTATACCAGTATTTACCTCTTTCTCCTCAAGAAGCTTGATGCGGCTCTCTAGGGTCCTGCACTTCTCTTTTTCTATAGCCAACTCTTCCTTTGCCTCTTTCAGACTGTTCTCGGCCTTTCAAAATATGATAACAGCGAGACCGTGAGAGCAATATGTAATGAATCAATGAAACTAAATTTCAAATTAACAATAGAAGGGAGGCAAGCCAGATTTCCTCTTAAACTTAGATATTTGGAACTAACCACCACTTTGTCGTCCTCAAGCCTCTTATTCTTGGTTCGGAGACTTTTGATTTCCTATGAAGTAAAAAAAAAAGAACACAATGAACCTTTGGCGTAACACAAACAAATATTACAACAGGTAGCTCAACCAACGTTATTGACCTTGCCTGTATTTTGTATGGCCTGTGTGAAGAAAATATGTGTATATCATAAACCCACATCATCATAACTGTATGCTTGCATGTAAACTACCCGAATATCTAGAAACTTTCCTAGCTTAAGGTATGGCTTTGACACAGCTACTTCAAAATCGCTCGGATTGAATTACTAAATCTTAACTTTTACTGCGACTTATGTATTGAAAGTCACCCTGCGTAAAACTCTACAAAATGACGGAATAAAACTGGGACTTAGCTCACTTAAGGATATGGCAGTAGCGGCACAAAACTGCAACCTTTGGAGAGAGACAATCA